TATATATAAATATATATATATTTGTAGCCACGATGTACTAACTGATGCAGCATCAATCAGTCACACCATATTCCTGCAGGGTCACACCAGAACAATCTCTCATTTATCGTGCAGGTTTTTCAGTGTTAAGATGGAAAATATCCAACTTGCCTTCTCAGCTTCTGGTCTGCACCGCTGCCTCCCTGAGAACCAGAGGGGGGGGGCATGAGTCAGCAGGAAGTCATTCAAATGCATGAGAAGTTCTTCACATAAATGCATGCACACCAAATGACCCTCATGTACCCTCTGATACTGACATCACTGTTACTGACCATCATGTGTGTGTGCAGACGTGTGTGTGTGTATGTGTGTGTGCAGACATGTGTGTGTGCAGACATGTGTGTGCAGAAGTGTGTGTGTGTGTGTGCAGACGTGTGTGTGTGTGTGTGTGTAGACGTGTGTGTGTGTGTGTGTGCAGACGTGTGTGTGTGTGTAGACGTGTGTGTGTGTGTGTGTGCAGACGTGTGTGTGTGTGTGCAGACATGTGTGTGTGCGCTCTCACCTTGAGGCTTGAGGACGGTGGTGAACACTTCAAAGTGAGCGTTGCTGTGTGTGTAGATCCGCTGCATTATGAAGATCTGACTCTCTGCGAGGACAGTTTAAAAAATGCAGCGACGGTCGAGGCACTGCAGCAGGACGGAGAGAAGCAGCTGGACGGAGACAGGCAGCAGGACGGAGAGACGCAGCTGGACGGAGACACTGCAGCAGGACGGATACACTGCAGCAGGACGGAGACACGCAGCAGGACGGAGACACTGCAGCTGGACGGAGACAGGCAGCAGGACGGAGAGACGCAGCAGGATGGAGACACGCAGCTGGACGGAGAGACGCAGAAGGATGGAGACACGCAGCTGGACGGAGAGACGCAGCACAGAGGAAACTCTGAAAAGTGTGTTTCATGCAGAGGTCCATCAACATGTCTTCTCTCCAGTGGAATGAGTCACTCAGGAGTTTCTCTCCCTCACGCTGACGGTTGGGTTTCTGCCTCATTTGCATATTTACTCATAAAAGAACATTTTTTATATTATTTTTATCTTTACATTTTTGACTTTTTTCTTGTTTAAAAAAAGGCATTATTTGTCTGAGATCACACTGTGTGTGTGTGTGTGTGTGTGCGTGTGCATGTGTGTGTGTGTGTTCCCCTCAGAGACCCATTGTTTTCCGACCATCTGCCACAGGATCCGTACCCTCACCTCCAGATTGATTTTTAGGTTATCCTCTGTCCCATTTCCCAGAGTGAGCAGGGACAAAGATGAGGAGCAGCTCAACAGATGGTGATCTCACACACACACACAGATATATACAGCACACACACACACAGCTTGTGTCAGCGATTAAAAATCATCCATCAATAACAACGTGATCACTCAGCCAGACAATCAGATCTGAAGTGGAAACAGATGTCATGAATATGGAATGACCTGCTGAGAGGTGTTAGAAACCCCTTACAGAGGCTTAAGGGAAACATTTAAGGGATTTTAGAATAAGTCAAGAATGAAGGGTGCTTTGACCCACACACTCTTTTTGAGAGGGTGTTTTCTGCATGCTCCTTTCTCAAAGATATCAAACAACCCAATATTTACACTTAAGTCTCAAAATGCAACTTAGAATTATTTTTCCTCATTTTATTCTGAAATGTTTAACCCTGGTTTTCTCCCGTATCTCCAGAGAAAAGATGCGTTTCATTTTCCAACTAATGCAATAATGTCAACAGGAAGTGATGCAGCCCTGTGGAGCAGATGCTTCAACACAGGTGACACACACCTGTACTGAACACCGTCATTCAGAGGAACACACACTCAAGTTATAAACACATTTTATTGTTTTTTTCATGTCAACAGGTCACAGAACATCACGTGCTCCTCCACGTGGAGGAACACTTCAAATAAAACAGAGCAAGTGGAAAGAGGGGCTGCAGAGACCTAGATTCAAATGCATGTGAAATAAGGTCGTTACTAAAAACACAGGATGTGTGTGTGCGTGTAAAGCCTTAGGTAAAGCCCTGTTTGATACAAACCACTGATCTCAGGACTGCTGCTGCCACAAAGCAAAGCAATAAGGGTGTAAAGACATCATTTAATCAAAACAGAAGCTTCACTCAGTCTGCAGTTTGTCCAGCAGTGACTTCCTGTTGATGTCCTGACGCTCTCCTCAGTCTGTCTGCACAGACACAGTCACTTCCTGTTTCTAAAGACACGCAGTCACTTCCTGTTTCTAAATAAGAGTCCACTTTCTTCACGTTTTCCTTCTCAGCGTTTTCCAGGCTTTCCTCTCCTCTTGCCTCCTACTACTGCACCCTTGCCTCCTTTTCCTTTAGCCTTCCCTGGCTTGCCTCCCTTTCCTTTCCCCTTTCCTCCCATACCTCCTCCTCCCTTACCCTTTCCTCCAAAGCTTCCTCCTCCTCCTCCTCCTCCTCCTCCCTTTCCTCCAAAGCCTCCTCCCTTTCCTCCAAAGCTTCCTCCTTCCTTCCCCTTTCCTCCCTTACCTCCTCCCCCCTTTCCTCCAAAGCTTCCTCCTCCTTTCCTTCCTCCCTTCTTCCCCTTCTTGTATTTTTGAGCCTCTTCTTGATCTTCCTCTCTCATCTGCTTGTTGACGGCCTTGGTGACGTCCAGCTTCGGCCTCTTTCCGTCCATGAGCTTCAGGAGGTCCAGCTGCTTCTGTTTCTCGGAGGAAAAGTTCCCGATGACCGCATCGAACTTCCTCTTCTTGCCCTGGTTCTTCGGAGCCTTTTCTTTGGGCAGGCAGTCCTGGAATCGCCCGGCGGAGGCTGTGGAGGTCCGAGCGACGCTAACGGCCCGAGAGAGATCATCTTTCCCCTGAGAGACCACCGGGGTCAGACCCACGCCTGCAGGGGAGACACAGAGGGGCATTACACTCATATCCATTCATACTCCACGAAATACTGTCGACTAACTGTTGGGAAAACACTGAATGTCCTCTTCCAACATGAGAGTAACATGATAACAAAGGTATCAACTGTAGCTGAGAACATGACAGGATGTGTGATTAGACCGGGCGAAGATAGATCATTCGGTCTGTAAGTTGCGGAAGACCTTGGGATATCGAGGTGCAGTTTTACTCGTACGAACAGTATACAGAGTAGAGGGTATCTCCGACTTAGTAGGTACCAATTAGTGTATCGATAGTATTACGGTATGTTTGTTCAGACTATCGTGTANTGGAGCTAATCTGAAGTAAACATTGAATACTGCTTTCTATTCCTCCATCTTGTGACTGTGGAACTCCCTCTCTTGGATATCAGCATGTGAAGGACACTGCTCAGCAACTAGTTGATGCTCTGTATGTGATGGGGACCAGGGAGAGTTTCTAACAGTAACCACTCTGAGTGTAATTAAGACGTCCACGTTAGCTGGATATTTTGGGCCATTTTGATGTTTTACTCATGTTTAAATTAAGTCAAACTATATTGTGAATACCATAAAAATACTCTGGAAAGTAAAAAAGGCCATAAAGATATGCATGTAGCTACACAGATGCATTGTGGGTATCTTCAGGTACTCCTGTATAAACACAGATGCATCATGGGTATCTACAGGTATATAACTCACCTGGCACTTTGATCTTCTGCGCCCTCGCGATGTTCTTCAGCCTGTTGAACTCGTTCTTCGCCACGCGCTCTTTCTTCGCGTGACTCCTCTTCTCGAACTGGTCCTCGGTGTTTGTGGCGGTGACTGGAACCTCGATGAGCCATTCCTTCGTGTCGTCGCCCCCCCTCTGATAGCCCCACCTCCTCTTCCAGTCCTTAGCGTTCTCATCCCACACCAAGTTAGTCTTCTTCCTCTTCTGGATCCCCTTCAGTTTCGCGAACTCTTCCCACTTGGTAATGGCACGAACCTTCGGCGGCGGCTTGGCGCGCGGCAGCGGAGTGTGTGTCTCGGGCAGTTTGACCACGAGCGCCTCCTGGAGCCTCTCCGCGCGCAGCTTCCACACCTCGTTGATGAGCAGCTGCGTGTTGTCTCGTGCCAGTGAGCGCAGAAACTGCTCTTTATCCTCCTTTAGAGCGCGCGCTTCCACACGATTAGAGTCGCACGCGAGCAGGTGACCTACATCAAAGGTGAGCTCGAGCTCTTTGGTCACAGTGATGCTCTTCAACTTCTCTTCTTCATCGCGCTGAGCTTTCGCCAGCAGCTCCTCCACACAGGCGGCCATGTTGCTGTTCAGAGAAACACGTGGGTCACACAGACACGTGACATAACACATGTGGGGAAGTACTTCCGGGTGGGTTCAACCACTCCCACCGCTGCGTCGACGTGGCACTGCGTGCTATGTCATAGATGTCTAAAGAGCAATACCACAGCAGCCACCAGAGGGCGACACGGCTCCATTTATTATTCATAACATACTAGGAATTTGACTTGACAAAAAATATTTTACACCGTCATAAAATAGAGTTAAATAGTAATACAAATTAAATAAAGAGGGTAACTAAAATACAACTAAATATATAAAATAAATACAAGCTTAATAAAAAACAATGCTAATATGTAAATAAGGCAAATATTAAAAAAAATGCAAAGGTTCAAAGTATAGAAAAAATGCAAAATAAAATGTGCAAAAAAATGTATATATTAAGTGCTAAATAATTGCTTACAGCGGCCACCAGAGGGCGGCACCGCTCCACATTATTTATCCTGTCAGCAGATATGACTTAATACTTATTTATTTCTTATAAATTAGATATAGTCTGTAGACTTTATTAAACAGCAGCTGCAATACAAAGCAGGACAACAATGTAAAGAGTTGAAAGTAAAAAAAAAAGAAACGCAAATGTAGAGAATGTAACAAAAAAATAAGAAAAAGAAAAAAAAATTCAACAAGTGTAATGTAAGAAATGCCAATATTACCACATACTTTATACAATATTTGTACGTTTCAGTGTTCAATATGTGCCCACAGTTTGTCTGCACCATGTTTGGAGCCTTTGGACCAATCAGAGCAGACGTTGGGTCATCTTTCCCGATCACACTAAATACAGTCTTTGTGCGTAAATGATGCAAACTAAAGAAACTGGAAATGTCAGTGCATTTAAAAAAGTGTGTGTGTGTGCAGACTCCTATATGTTAAGCACACACACTTCAGTGCAAAGGAAGCAAGCTGTAGTGTAAAATAAGTGTGTGTGTGCGCATCATAAAGTCATGATAACAGGATTACTGTATAGATTAAATCCCTGGAGTATTATTACCCTCCTGTCTGTCCTGCATGTGATCTATAATATCTCTATTTCTGTCCTCATTTGGAGTGTGTGTGTGTGTGTGTGTGTGTGTGTGTGTGTTTTATTATATTAGGCTGCAGTAATTACATTCACCGCCACACTTCCATGTGACAGCGGAGATAAGGTCACAGTGATGCTGTTTGGCGAAGAGGAGGAGGAGGAAGAAGAGTAATTAGTGCCCAAAGTCGTCTCTGTTGTGATTTAGAGAAGCTATAAGGTCCTCTGTGACGTCACACACACACACACACACACACACACACACACACACACACACACACACACACACACATACACATACACACGCACACGCACATACACACAGACACAGACACACACACACGCACAGACACACACACACACACACACACACACACACACACACACACACACACACACACATTCACACAGAGAGAGAGATGTGCTAAAAGGATTTTCAGAAACTCTGAAACAGGTTTAGGTTTTTATTTCTTGAAGCTCAAAATAAACTCTTTTTATTCGTGGAGAAAGTTGAGATGTTGCTTTGAGTCCCTCTGAGTCTCTCTGAGTCCCTCTNCTGACCACCGGTAGTCCACAGGAGGTTCGAGGGTTTACCAGCCCTGAGGCCCTAGGACTTGAGACCACAAGCTCCTCCACCGCGGCTTCGGCAATAGAGGCTTCTGAACACCTGACCACTGGTTCAATGTCCCCCCACTCCACAGAATGCCCGAAAAGCTCCGCGAGAGGTGTTGAGCTTGAAGGCCTCCCTGAACTGGGCTCCTCCCGACTTCCCAGCTTACCCGAACCTAACACTTTGGGCTTACCAGGTCTAATCCAGTAGGCTTATGTCCAATGGAATAATTATCTTAATATTTCTGGTGAGTTGAAATGTTTAAATCATGTATGAGGGATCTGAATTCATTGATAGAAACAGCATCATTTTTTATCAGTAGATTTAAATCAACATACAGATTCACAAAATTTTAGTATATTTCGTCCCTCAATGGTCTCTGCTCTGTACTTTAAATAATAACTTATTGTTCTTCCTGAGGTTTGGAAATACATTTTTAATGTTTTATAACCATCAGGATAACCAAAGGCTGATCCAGTCCTCACTAACGCAGTCTCTTGATTGTGAAATATTCAAGCTTAAACTCCTAATAATAAAAAGATTCAGCACAAATACCTCAAACATATATTCTGTAAAACGGTTCAAATATTGCTGGTATCAAGGACATTTGGGAATTAAAAAATTAAATATATCAGCCGTTATTTAATGCTGTGGACCCTTTTGCCCTCCACCCTGCACGAAATACATGTATCTGTATACATGAATACATAATTGGGTACATGAAACATATATCATGTATAATTAACATGAATACATATATTCTGTAATACATGAATACCATAATCCTGTGAGACAGAATCACTGATCTGTAATACATATATCATATATCGTGATACAGTGAAACATATATTCTGAAGTACATGTAATATATCTGTGAGTCATCGAATACATATATTGTAATACATGAAGTACATATATCCTCTCACAAACTCTGTAATACAGTGAATGGAGCAAGGTCGAGAGCGCGATGAGGACATGATATCTGAATACTGAATACACATATATCGTAATACAGTGTATCTGTAATACATGAATACAAAAATCTGAACACAGAAACAGTCTATGATCACAGAATATCCAGAATAACAGCAGTCCTGATTGACGGATCTACTAAACAGCATCATATAGTCCAGTTCCTCTGCAGTCATGTCAGTATCAGTGTGATTTTCTCTCAGTAATAGCAGTAACTACATGGCAGACATGTAAACAACAACAACAACAACAGGAACTGATATTGAATGTGCACCACGTTGAATTGTGATTTGATTCCAGAGACTATCTCTATGTTCTTCAATTATATATGGACAGGGACAGGTTATATATGATTTCTCTTCCGGCTGTTTGCCTTCACAAAACCAGAGCCCTGATACTCAGGGACTTCACTTACGTCCCTCTCGCATTTAGAAAACAACAAGTAATTTTTATATGGCCCACTCATCTGTATTCAATAGTCATTTTTAACTTGCTTAGAAATGAAAGTGGTCCCCAGAGGTGGTAGAAGTACTCAGATCATGTACTTGAGTAAAACTAGAGATAGTCAGATCTTGTCTTGAGTAAAAGCAGAGTATTAAGCTGGGGAATATTTCCAAAATCCCCCAGCTAACATCCCATGGCAACTTATCGGAAATTTACCTGAAATGTTCCGCCCCTGCAACTATACTCTGTTACAGTAAATCCAGCTTCAATAATGTCCAATGGTGGTGCAGCTAGTTTGAATGACTTTGTAATACTGCAGGGTGTTGTGTATTTACTCCAGGTGGAACTAAAGTCCACTCCCACGTGATTATATCTTCACATCATTCATCCACATCTGGGAAGTAACTAAGGTATTAAATACATGTAGTATGGAGTAAAAGACATCTATTTACCGAGCCCCGCGCACCATTTAAGACTATCACACCTTAACTTACACAGCCCATAAACACAGAAGCACCTATTTTCCAACGTAAAGAATAAAGAAGACCACGTGCGATCGCAGTGTGGGGCCTACTATGCCAGGAGAAGCCAGAAACAGCAACATCTTCACTTGATCTCAAGAGGCTTTCTGTGTGAACGGTTTCTTTATCCACAGAAACACAGCCGTCCTTTCTGCAGAGCGGGGTACCATGAGAGAGAAACATTTGAAGCGAGGTAATCACCTGTTCCTTTCTCTGAGCATGAGAATTCAGTCCTGAGCCACGCGTCATTTTCGCGTAAATCTGGCTCACTAGGTTGTAGACGAAAGTGAAAGCGATGTGTGCTGCCTGAGTGAGAAGATGCCGACATGCTTTATCTGCTGTCTCTGTCCCGGCTGCTCACCACACTGTAGGATTACACACTGGTTCTTTATCTTTATTCCACTGTACAGTATTTATCATCCTACTCTAGAACATGTACAGTTACACTTTAATCTACATCTGACTTGCACCATAGGTCCCGGCCGTTTGACTTTAGAGCAGTTGGTTTCAAACCCTTTCTGTCGGCCCCCCACTTTGGAGAAAAAAAGAGTCGGGCCCCCCAACCACAAATAGTCCCCAGGCTCAGAGTGGCGCCAGGAGATTTATTTTGGGGGTGCGTGGGTAGCCTTGACGGTTTCATAGAGGTGCCAAACATTTAGGGTTTCCGCATTAATGACCCGGTGGCAGCCCACATTGAATTTTCTACTGCAACAATCCCCACACATATACTGTACACAACGTACCCGCGACTGTTACAATGAAGGCTCGATAATCAGCTCACGGCATATAGGTGTAAGCAGGGGTAAAGTGCTATTTTTATAGGTGGTGTGTGGACCTCACATAGGGGGGTCCGGGGGCAAGCTCCCCTGGGAAGATTTTTAAACATTGAAGTTAAAAGCATCAATCTGGTGCACTTTGAGAGCAAAATGAAGAGATCTATGGATACATCTCTCAACACCTATATGAAACAGAACTGTAAACAGATTTACTTTTTCTTTATGGATATTTTACAAATTACCCTTTTAAACGTTATTCTTTTTTTAATGTCATATAGTATTTCATACCTGTTTTTAATTTATTCTCTTATTTTTTTATAACTATAATGATCATATAAACGTGTGCCTCGGAAATAATTGTTTACATTAATGGTGACCAAAACGTTTGAGACCCACTGAGATAACACTGAGAGAGTCCTTTAGGTCACTGAGTCTCTCAGTCTGACAGGAGAGGACTCTCCTCCACTTTGTTGTTGGAAAAACTCCTTATACCCAGCCACTAGCTCGCTAGCACCAGAAGCTAACAACAACGATCTCCGGTACCGGTGCGCTCTTTCTCTCTCTCTTTCTCGCTCGTGCACGCACACAAAATGGCTCGTTCCACACACACACACACAGAGCCGAGCTTGAATGAAACACAGAGACCCAGACGTACTTGGACTGTACTGTATCATATTATTTTCGAATCGATAGTTTTTCAAATTATGATTTTTTTTCTTTCAAAAACATTGTTCCTCCTGGTTTCTCGCGCCCCCCTGTCATGCCTCTGTGCCCCCATGGGGGGGCGAGACCCCCACTTTGAGAAATACTGCATAGGCCAACCTCCCCTAAAAAACAATGATTCCCCCACAGAATATTTTGACCTCTAACCACTTACCAGAATTTCATATATTTTGATTATCTGTTATTGTACATTTACTGATAAGAAGCACATCTTCAAAGGCACATGAAATCAAACATTTGAATTATTTGTGCCATGCAGTGGGCTGGTGTTGAACTTAATTTATTCTGTGCTATGTCAGAAAAATACGTTTTGCTAATGCAGCAGAGAGGCGTTGCTTCCCAACGGAATCAGACTGAGATTCCACTTTGAAGATACTCATCCATTCAATTTCATGGTTGCACCACAAGATGGCGCTTATTTCATAGAACACACATTAACCAGCTTTTTTTTTAAATGTTAGGCTTTGGTCTACACAGTTTGTTATATCACTTATAAACAGAGAGTCATTTTAATTTAAATTTCAGTTGGACTCAACTTTACAAAACTAACTCTTTAGGTATCTGGTGCCATACAAGCTTTTAAGAAAATTAAAAGACTGATAAGATTGACAATATGAATCCAAACCTTTTAACTTACAAATCACTTTCCTTTTTAGAACAGCGACTTTCTTTACATATTTACTAATTGCTTTCTTACTCTCTTCTTCTCTGTCCTTAGCGGTTAGCAGTGAGTGGATTCACCAACATCCTGAGTGTGGTTACAACCTGGTAAATTCTCCTCATCTGAAACCAGCTTGGATTCTAGACAGAGCTCTGTGGCACCTAAGCTGTGACATAGCTGATGAAAAATATGATAAACGAGGAGTGCCAGCTCTTTTTCAAGATGATCGGAACATGAACGTACGTTTGCATATTTCATTTTGTGGTAATAGATCTTATTTAACATAACTTTTAAATATCTTTTTAAATCAGAGACCACCAGCTTTTGTTAAAACCCGTTGGAAGATACAGCTATTTTGCTTATATTTTTTGGTTCTATGAAAGGGGTGTCCAAACATTTTTCACTGAGGGCAACATACAGAAAAATATACGAAGGGCTGGGCCAATCACTAGCCTCATGAGTTACATTACATGTCACTTGTTTGATGCTTTTATCCAAAGTGACTTACATACATTCAGTACTTTGGGCAATCCCCACGGGAGTGTCTTGCCCTGGGACACAACGACATGATGAAAGCAGTGTGACTCGAAATTGCTCTCCCCTGATCCAATGATCAGCACATTATCCCACTGAGTGATAGCCTCATAAGTTAAGTCATAAGTTAGCAAAATCAATCAAATGTAGTTAAATGACGCTAGATGGTTGAATGTGCTTTAAGAAAAAACCAGCCTACATCCCAGCTCTCCAGAGGGTTTCATTTATGTGTTACAAACAGTGTTGGCAGCTCATCCCTTAAAACAGAAGCCTCAGATTGCTTATAATAAGGGGAAATAGGAAGGGAATATTTCAAGCTTGTTATGATAATAAGCTATTGGGCTTTTTTTTATCAACTAAAATTTGTTAGAAAATGTTCTCAACTTGAATTGACTGAATTGATTTGAAAAGTTGGCTTATTAACACAACAATACTGTGTGATATATTTTTGTATTTATGAAGTACAAGTTTCAGGTGTGGGACATATTCCAGTATACATTTAGAACTTGCTACGGGCCAATACAAACTGGACCACGGGTCGCAGTTGGCCCCCCGGGCCGTAGTTTGGACACCCCTGTTATACAGATGTAGCACTCCAGATAGGACTCACGGGTGTGTCCCAGTCAAAAGCCCAGCGGATCCCAGTGGCTGGGGGTGTTGCCAAATTGCTAGAGGACGTCGCCAAATTTCCCCATTTGTTCAATTACAGGATTTAACCATGAGATGGCGCTTCATTCACAAATACACAAAGACAACTGGGTGTTGTAGAACTTAGTCTGTTTGCAATGTTTGCAGCTCTGCAGTTGTGTTTGTTGAATAAGGTAGCATTTAATCACTTATTTGTTATGGTTTTCACAGCCTATTATAATGAAAAAACATCAATATTTTAGATCAAATAAAGTATATAGTTTGCTTTATGCAGTATATTTTTTGTAATATTGTTGGGGTGTGTTGGAGATTTGGAGGATGTTTAAAACCAACCTCGTCTCCGCGTGTCGTTTGATAAGCTGGGTAAATTCGTAAAAAGGAAGGGATTAAGAAACACCAGAATACAAGTTAAACAATAATCTGCTTTAATGGTAAAACATACAAATACATCACCCAATCTCCTAATCACGAAGCACTCTGCAGAGTACTCCGGGCTCAGGTTCTAACCCCGTGTGAGACACGTCTCAGGAACGGCAAGTCAAAAACAAGAGCGCGAACCAAAGGAAAACACAGGCTTTCATACTAAAACACAGGAGGAGGTGTGTGCGTGCTTTCCCTCAGAGGTCATCTTATTGGGAGAGACCAACACATGGCCTGTCGCACCCAATCAGTGCGACACAGCAGAAGAAACCCGGAAACAAAAAGTCTCTTTCAGTTTGACGAAAACCAGATACCTTTTGGTGTCTGGTACGAACCTGCTCTAAACAACAAGTTTCCTTATCTTATTTCACATCTTGCAGCCAGCACACACTAGAGATGTTAAGATTCACCGATTCGCATCGGTGCACCGGCATAAACGTTCAAGATGCGAGTGCACCGGTTGAAAGAGTGCACATCGGCTACAGTTTGGGTTGAACCGGGTTGAACTTGCGATGCATCGATCTGAGACTGCCAAGGG